ATTAATATTATTATACTCTTTCTCCTTGTTATCGTCTTATTAAAGTCGTTCTGATTTTCCAAGCCGTAAGTCTCTCTCCCTTGTGGGAAAGGAAGGGGTTAACAGAGAGCATCTGCCGACCCCTTCAAGTGCCAGCCCTGCCTTAAACGGTGACAGAATCATACCCTCAGCTAAACAGCAGCACCTGCAAAGACAAAAATCTCACCCTTTGTGACCTCACGGGCTTCAGGCTCACCTAAACCTTTCAAAAATACAAGGATGAAGTAGTGGAAGGAATAGTACAGGTATTTTCAGAAGGGGATGCCATCAGCACAGTGTGTGTTGCCATACTGCTGCCCCTGTCATTCATACTGCGGCACATGCACGTTCCATACACTTTGTTCTCTCTAAGGACCAATACCTCCTGCCTCTGTAAGAAGAAGAAAGGCTGGCCTGTTTAGTGTCAAACTTACCCAGACACATACGACCACAATGCATTCCAATAGTGATAGCCCATCCAGGATGTGAACAAGTCTGATGTTTCAGGCCACTAACCAAGCTTCTCGATGCCAAACTAGATGTAGACCTCAGTCCCTTTTTAAAAGATGCATTTTTCTCCTATCCCACTAAACAACTCACCGGATATAGGATTCTCGCTTGCCACATACAACACACAGGTTCTCTTTGACTGTCAGATAATAATCAACTTGAGACTCAGGACGTCCTGAAGGCTCAAACCGCAGCTTCACAACAAATGGGTCTGTGCTAACTAGCTCTGAAAGGGTAAAGGCATAAAGAAAATATTCAAGACAAATTTCTATTTGAAAGCTAAAATAATGATGCTAAAACACAGGATTCATGCTAGTGAACCCCCAACAGTATTTCCAGTAAGAAAAGATACAAAAATTCATGCCCAGTCATCTAAGAAACAAGGCAAAAAAACCCGCAAACAAAAAGCTATTTTTCAAATAGCAACAGGAAAATTCGTATGCTCACCTCCAATCCCCTTGTCCAGATACCACTGAGCCTTCTTGCGATCACAAGTGCACAAGGGCTGTCCATCCGGTGCATGCAGGAAGCAGTTGTCATACAGTGGAGATTTTCTACGAAACAAGGGCAGCATTTCAGTAACTATAATAGTATGCCAGAAAAAAAAAAAAAAAAAAGAGCAAAAGAGCTCTCTATAGCCATGTGTTCCACACTACAATTCACGCAGCCTCCTCCAAATCACAGGAGTGCCCCTAAACGCACACTTAAGGCTGGGCTGCTGAGCACTGCACAGGCTGCTGCTAAGGGAAGCTGAACATCTAAAAACTTACCTAGGGTTCACCAACTGACTGTAAGGTATCTTTGCTCTCCTGCTGCCAATAGAATTGTAACTCTCTCTGAATCTCAGTTTTCAAGAGATGTCATCAATGATGACAGCATTTTCAAAAAAAATTACATTAGAAAACAAAACAGAATTGAAGTCAAGAAGGACAATGAGCTAAAAGTAAGCTAAAGGAGAGAGTCAACTTACAGGCAAGGCAGTTCCAAGGATCAGCTGCCTAAGACCATATTTTTAATGTCTTATTATGATGACTTTTCTAAAACTTAGTGTAAGCAGCAATTACTTCATTCATCCAGAAGAAATGCTCCAAAAAGGCTCTTGCATCACTGGGAACCCAAACACGAGTCCACAGGAACGACGACACTAAGCTGAGGCCCTCTGAAACACGGGCACTTAACCTTAGTCAGTGGCACTAAGTCCTGTTTGAGCGGTCTCTGGTGCTTTGTGGCAGTGCGTGGAAGGGCTCTGTTCTTCAGAAAACATTTCCTTACTCTGCCAACCTCCTTCAAACAAAACTGAAGAGTGGAGCAGGCTGGGCTCAGGGAGCACCTGGGAGGAACTGGCCAGGGATACAACACTTCACAATACGTTGTGGAAAAGATTCTTCTCTCCAGCGAGACTGTATAAATAAGTACTCAGCAGAGCTCTACCAGCTAAAAAGGTTGATTCATAGGCTATGTAATCTGACAAAATGATTTCTTCTGAGGTTCATGGTGGGGAAAAGACTCAACAAAACAATAATGATACAGGAGGTCTCCTTCCACTGAGCGTCAGTAGTTCAGCTCAATCACCATGATAATTTGAGTACTTCCCAACTCTAAATGAATAAACATTAAAGCTAAACAGGCTTAGAGAAAGGAAGAGTGGAAAAGGACATTTGAAATCACATCCAGTCTTATTACAGACCAGAGCCACACCACTGGAGATACTGTAAAAAACAGTGAACCTATGTATCTCTCATGAAGTCAAATGTGCTTAAAAGCAATAAATAAATAAACAAACATCGAGAGATCTCAATTTAGCCTGGAATGCAATTTTGTTTAAATTTTAATCCTCCCATGAGGTGCAGTCCTCCTGCTTTGTATGACAGAGGTTCCCACTAAAAAAAAAAACACAACCATAAATCTGGAGGGACTTGCTGTGTACAATACAATACTGTTAATGACTGCTAATGAAATCAGTATTATTGGCTACACTAAAATGTCTCCACTGCCAATCCAATAAACTTGAAAAGGAGAAAACAAATACTAAAGTGACTGGTTTTCTTTCCAAATGGTAATTACAGACAATTTTAGTTCCTACATCCAGTGATAAATTTTATTAGATTGTATCCAACCAAAACCAAACATACTAGCTCTCCACATCTTCCACTACATTGAGCTTAAAAAGACTTCTCCAACTTATTTTACTTTAAAAACAACTGAACTTTCATTAGCAAGAGGCCGTAAGAATTTAGGATTTGCTCCACAAAATTGCCTGCGGGATGGGGATCCTGAATCCAGCAACAGCTGCCTCTGCAAGGCCAAAGTAGTACCGTTCCCTCCTCTCTCTCCCTGGCCAAGACAGAAGTGCAGTGCTTCGAAGTTGCCACAGGCTGCTCCTTCCTGTGCCTTCTGCCACCTCACATAACGTGTCTCACCCCTCCTAACCTTACCTTTCAGCACCGCTCAGTACTCTGACATTGCTGCGGCCACAGTGACCTGGGGCAGCACGGTACAAACAGCAGTCCACCAGGCAGATCAAGCTCTATGCAGTTGCCACATTTTCCCTGGAGAAGACAGGGCATAGCTGTTTGGGCAGTAAATGTCACCTGGGCAGCCAACTGCCTCCTGCTGGGACTCTGCTCTCCAGCTAATGCCTCCACAGGAGAAGGAAGGGCAAAAGCTGAAGACAACCCCTCAACCTGCTCATGACTTAGTACAGATCCAAGTGCTGTCCCTGCTTTCAATACCACCTAGAGGGAAATGAGGAAAACAGAAACAGGATCTGGCTCCCATGGCTGTTACGCCCTGTGTTTCCTCCCCTAGCTCTTATTACCCACTTTGTTTAATGAACCGAACATGAGGCATCATTCAGTCTTCCATCTGCAGTGCAAAAGAGTAAAATGTGCTCATAGACTTACCGTGCAGAATATCCCATGCCTAGTGGCTTCCGCTTCTGCCTCCGTGGATCTCTCACTTGCTGACTGCCAGAGGCCTGGCCATTCACCAAAGATTTCCGATTCTTTGTTTTCTGAGGGGAGCGTCCCTCTCCACTCTTCTCCTCTCCTGTGCTGCCACTCCTTCTTCCTGTAAATGGGATATCCACCAAGCCCCGGCATTTACACAGTGCTTTTTCCCAAGCAGCAACAGCGTTTTCACCTTCAGATGTAGCAGGGAGACTGGCAAATCCCAGCAAATGGAGGAACAGAGCCACTGAGACCTGGGCATCCCTAGCAGCATAGAGAACCTGCAGAAAAGCGTAGACATCGAGACACTGACAAACAGCAAACACTCCCAAACATTATCAATCTTTAACACTTGGTACAGTAAAGCCAGAAGCTGGATTTATTTCCTTTTGAAGTTCACACAAAGTTCTGGCAGCTTAATGACACTTTCATAACATCACCACACCCCACATTTTTACTGTCAGTCAGACTTGAAATACTCATGAGTGCCCCCAGGAACTGCAAGGGACTAAAAAAAATTCAGGTCAGCCAGGCCTTAAACACGCCTCTGCCCCGCCAAGCCCTCCCTAATAAAAAGCTCGATTTTGACATACTGTCTATGAATATTCAGTCTGGTTATTTATCCTGTCACTCCCTCTGCCGGTGACTGATTTTGTAGACATCTGCAGCTTGATTGTAAAGAAACTGAGCAATCAGGGAAACCATAAAGGTCTAAAGATGGTGAACAAGATTTCCGGGGTTTCTCTGTAATATTGCACTGACTGCTACAGATTGGAGGAAAGAAAATAACAACAAGGTGATGTTTTGGGTGCACAAACACTTCTTCAAGGGATCTTGCCTTATGGATCTTTCAGGACTAAAGGAAAATAAGGGTCAAGAATCCAGGGAGAACAGCAGAAAATCACCTTCATGGAAAAGGAGGGAAATGCAGACCCAGACTCCGAAAATAACTTCAGACGGCAGTCACACATAAGGTTTTAAGGCAGAACTCAAAGAAGGCTCAGATATCCCTGTTGTAATGCCTCTTCTCTACCAAGAAGGTTGCTTTTCCTCCTCCCAAAACACTAAGTTGAAGTGGAAGACACACCTGATCTTGTGTCAGTTCTTCTGCCTCCCAGTTGCTGCAACGCACATGAGGAGACTTGTCAAGCGGGCAGTTCAGGACTTTTTCAGCTAAAGACTTAAGGCTAAGGCAGTTGTGAAGTAGATCCTTCCTTCAGTTTAACAAAGAAAGTGAAACAAACATATTAAAACCAAAACTATACACCCATGCAAATTCAGATGGCCTCATACACCCTGAACCTGCCAGAGCATAATGCACATGATGCATGACTCTCAAACAGCTGCCTGTCAGCTTTACAAGCCCTCTCCCTCCCCTCCGTTAAAATGTCCTTTCTAGATTTAGTAATTATCCAGTGCCTGCAATATGCAAAACAGGCAAGGCTGGGAGTTGGTAACATTTAAGGCTGAAGCATTTGGCTCTGAACTACCCACTAGCCAGGTCTATCACAGAGTGATAGACTGCCTGCCCCAGGGATTCACAAGAAGCATGAGAGCCAGGAGTGACTCAGAGGAATCCTGGCCACTAGAGACAAGAAGCCCATCCTCTGTGCTAAAAAGGCATCATCAGGTCAGCAAACCCGTGCCCCAGATCACTAGCACCACATCCAGGCATACATATACTGCACGTGAAAAATATTCCTAAGTAAAACATTTTATTTTAGGAAGAATGAAGGATGAGAAAATGGCATCATGATTGTAACCTTCCAATGCAAGTATTGTTATTAAAAGAGAAAATTAAAAGTGGTTTATTCAGTCATTTCTCAACAAATCCTGTAATTCAACAGTTCCACTTACATGCCCCTAGCACATTTACCCCATACTTTTTGGCAGTGTATTCAAACATCTGTTGACAGAGTGATCACTGTGTTACATCACTGTGCCTGGACTTCTTCATTCAGCATATGCAATTTACTTTTAAAATACTTCCAACTCAAATGATGCCTCAAACAGAGCTGCCTCTGTCTTCAGACACTCACCGCTGTCTCATGGCTAAATACCGGAGATCCACACTCCCTTTGACTGGAAGACCATAATCATGAAGTAACTTGCAAGCATCTTCCCAGCATCCTACCCCAACTTTCAACACAGCAGAATCTGCCATGATGTCCAACAGGGTCTTTGGGATAGTGTGTCCACTGGCAAGAAGCCTGGGCAACCGAACAAGAATGCAGAGGCCACTGGAAGAAGCCATCTGTAGGAGGGATACAGGATTTGCTTTTCCCTCCACAGATACCTGAAATAAAGACAAAAATCGGAGTCTGGGTTACAGTATTATTAGTGACACTGGAGCTGCAACAAATTGTAAAAGAGGCCACAGGAAATATCTATCAGTTTATACAGTCAAGTATTGTTACACATCTCTAGTATTTCACTGCAAATGATGTGATCTGTTTCACAGTATTAATGTCCCCAAGCTACTTCTTGCCACACTCCTACAACAGAAACTTTCCCCCTTTCACCCTTCCTCCTCATAGCTGAGCTGGTGGAAGAAATCAGACACATTTCTTAATCCATATCAGCACAAAGCCACCCACTATATAAATGTTCATGGCAAACACATTCTTTAACTGTCGGTTATACTAATGACTGTGGGGTGAATAAATTTCCAGCCAAAATAATGGTAAAGTCAGGCTTTATAACTGACTCAAAGCCTGTTTTGAGAGTTCACATAGGCAAATGTACAAGCAAAAGAGGAACTCTGCTTTCTGGTAGCACCAGTTACATCTACGTATCAGTAATATCCTCCTTTTTGGATTTATTATTCTTAAAAAATTGTTTCTTAGGTATATAGATGGATTTAAAATACTGTAAACCGGAGCTACTTCTAGTAAATCACCTTTAAAGAGACATTATACACAACACATAATGCTATACTTAGCCATACAATTATCACTATGTTTAGTACAGTTGGTTTATCACAGGAGTTCAGTAAACCAATATGAGTGAATTAAAAACTTACAGTCAGTACACTTAAACGTGAGAAAAATCAAAATTAGCAGCTACTTCACTGCTGTCAGATAATCACACAGGCAGTTTCAATTGTCAGTCCTGTTGTACCCATTTAAGCAAAGGAATCACTCCATCCTCAATGATTTCCCGTTGCAATTTGCAATCTAAAGGAGAGGCGCTTCTTGATCACTCACCCACTCACAATCAATTCCAAGTACCGGCCACTTCTCCAGCTCCTTCTTCAGCAAAGGTTCAACACGATCCCACTCCTCCTGCTCTGAAACTATCACTATGTCTGCACCAAGGGTCCTTTCTACCCAGGAAAAGATGGGAGATCTGAAGAAGGAAAGCACCTCCTTATCCTCTGCCTTAATCAGTTTCTCATCTCCCGAGTTTATAACTGCTTCCTCTTGCTGACTACTACAGCATGCTTTTCCTTTCCGACGTTGGGTTGCTTTCCACAAAACCAGGCCCCCCACTGCAACACCCAGCAGGGTCACCAAAGTAATCGTCACTGCTGTTTGCTTGGGCATTTTTTTAATCCCCCTTTTCCCCCCTTCACTTCACCCACTCAAAACGGCATTGTAGGATTTTATCATGGCCTGCAAAGAAAAATGAGAGAGGTGGAAATTAAAGACAACTTAAGTGAAATGTGTTTAGAGGTATTAAATAACACTCACTGGTATCATAACAAGGTTCTAGCCACAAGTCGCAATTCTGACAGAAAAAGGACCTGGTCCCACTTTGATAGACTGGGGGCAAGGGACAGACTGCTGCAGTGGTAGATCAGGCAGTAACAGGAGACTGAATGCTGCTGTTGATCACACCACCAAAAACCTTAAAGGGAATCCATTGATTTATACCCGTGCAACTGGATGCTTCCACAAACTCTGATGTTCCAGAAATAAACTAATCAGGGCTATTACCAACATCTTCTAGCTCAGTTTGGAACCAGATCAACCTAAACAAGGGCAAGACGAAATTACTGCAGAATAAGCATGTCCATTCATGCATCAGTAAATAATAGGCATTGTCCATTACACTCGCATCCATACTGAGGTCAAATGGCTCTTCAGGCCCTGAAAAGCCCTAAAGATGCAGCATCTATTTATAACATAGCTTTCCCTCTATCGTACCAAAGCTTAGCTCCCCTTAAACTGAAATCAGCCCTGCCTCTGCAGCCCCATCTCCTCAACCCACCGTGTTATTTTTGAAGGCCTGCCCTGACACACACAAGCAGAAGCTGTGGTGCCGGTGCTACTACGGCCCAGCGCAACCGCTAACAGCATTCAGAGCACGGGGCACGGACACCTGCCTGAACCCTTGTGAAGTGACAGGTAATTTACTCTCACTTCTTAAACTGAGCGAGAAGACTGAAAGCAACGAGGGCCACTGGCGCCTCC